CCAGCCCCCTGTGAAGAGCCTGGCTCTGTGTTCTCCATCCCCTCCTCACTGTCAATGCCAGGCTGGCATGAGGAGCCCCTCAGCCTTCCCTGCTCTGGGCTAGACCAGCCCAGCTCCCTCAGCCTCTGCTCACTGCCCAGGGGCTCCATTCCCACCTTGGAGGCCCTTCCCAGACCCTGCTCCAGCTGCCAGACATCTCTTCTGCCCTGGGGAACCAAAACCAGACCACAGCGACCTGGATAATCCCCATCCTTGATGTCCTGGTCACACAGCCCTGGCCCCTTGTCCCCATGTCAGGCTCTGGTGTGGACGCTGTGGATAATCCTTTGGTGGAGGCTGTGGCTCCAGGTGAGCCGGGGGGATCCCGGGGGACAGGGACCCTGCTGGGCATGAACAGCATTGGACTTATTGGGAGAAACTGTGAGGGAGAGCTGGGGCAGAGTGACCAACCCAGTGACCTGACACAGCCCTGCTGGGATGTCACACAGCCCCTCTGGGATGTCACAGCTTGCGCTATTGCATCACATCTCATTCTCTAATGTCACACAGCTGGTCTCTGATGTCACAGTTATGGCCTATGATGTCATAGCTGCGCAATGACCGCACATAACCCTCTCTGTGATGTCACAGCCCACTCTGTGACCTCATGTTACCAGATGATAAATTGTCTCCACCAGCTGAGCTGACACCTGGAGCTTTTTCTCCACAACCCCAGGCCTATGGAAACCACACAATGCCCATTGTGTGAGAAAGGGAACTGGAAATTCAGGAGCCTCAGTGTCCTGCCAGGTCAGCCAGGCCCACCAGAACATTGGGGTCCACGACTACGAGGAATCACCAGAGAGACCCCCAGGACAAAAGAACACATGGGTTAAAGGGAAGGGAAACATGTTAATGATTTTGAGGAAATAATTTTCACATGTGTGAAAAAGAATAGTAAAACACCAAATTTGCAGATAACACAAGCTGGGTGTGAGTGTGGATCTACTGGAGGGTAGGAGGGCTCTGCAGAGGGACCTGGACAGGCTGGATCCAGGGCCCAAATCCAACAAGGTGAAGTTTAACAAGTCCAAGTGCCAGGTCCTGCTCTTTGGCCACAACAACCCCTGCAGCACTACAGGCTGAGGACAGAGGGGCTGGAGAGCAGCCAGGCAAAAAGGGACCTGCAGGGACTGATGGACAGCAGACTGGACATGAGCCAGCAGTGTGCCCAGCTGGCCAAGAGGGCCAATGGCTCCTGGCCTGGATCAGGAATGGTGTGGCCAGCAGGAGCAGGGCAGTGATTCTTCCCCTGCACTCAGCACTGCTTGGGCAGCACGTTGAGTGCTGTGTTCAGTTCTGGGCCCACAATTTAGGAAGGACATGGAGGGGCTGGAGTGTGTCCAGAGAAGGGCAACAAGGCTGGGGAGGGGTCTGGAACAAAGCTCCTTTGAGGAGTGGCTGAGGGAGCTGTGGTTGTTTATCGTGGAGAAGAGGAGGCTCAGGGGAGACAAGGCAGTGCCAGGGCACAGGTTGGACTTGATGGACTCCATGGCCTGTTTCAACCTTGCTTATTCTTGGATTCTCTGAAACGACCCTTGGAGCAATTGCAGGATGAGCCCTGGGCCTCCTCTTCAGAAGCTGCAGCAGCCAAGGTCCCTCAGGTACTCCTGCCAGCCCCAAAGCCCATCCTGTCAGTTCTGCAGAGCCTCTGCAGATCCTCCTCATTGGCCAGAACAGGGAGCCCCCCCCCACCCAGGAGCCACCCCCAGGACTGTGCCCGGCCCTGAGAGCCCTCAGGCCCTGCAGCAACACCAGGGCCACCAGGGCAGCAGGGCAGGGCCATGGCAGCATCACTGGCAACACCAAGTGCTGCTGGTGCTGGGCACAGCTGCTGGGCCAGCACTGATCTGCCCCCAGGTCTGCACACAGACATTGCTGCTGCAGCTCCAGAGAAGGCAATTAAAGGGCATCTTTGCAGACAGCTTTGCTGGGAGAGCATTTAGATCTTTAAAGCTATCTAGAACACAGCCCCTCCTTAACACAGTCTGTGGTCATAGGGAAGATGGAGAGAAAAAACATGAGAAATGGCACAAAGAATTACATTTCTTGTGGCACAACATTAGGTAAAACCAAGCAAAAGAACGTCCAAGATGAAAGCAAGAAGAAGTATCAAACATTAGTTTTATTACAAGTGATATTCAGAAATTGGCCAGCAGTTTAATGTTCCTGAAAGCATCCAGTCATCAGTCTCCACACTGCAGCCTTGAGCTCCTGGTTCCTCAGGCTGTAGATGAGGGGGTTCAGGGCTGGAGGCACCACTGAGTACAGAAGTGACAGGGCCAGATCCAGGGATGGGGAGGAGATGGAGGAGGGCTTCAGGTAAGCAAACATTGCAGTGCTAAGGAACAGGGAGACCACAGCCAGGTGAGGGAGGCAGGTGGAAAAGGCTTTGTGCCGTCCCTGCTCAGAGGGGATCCTCAGCACAGCCCTGAAGATCTGCACATAGGAGAAAACAATGAATACAAAACAACCAAAAGCTAAACATATGGAGAACACACTAAGTCCAAGTTCCCTGAGGCGGGAATTTGAGCAGGAGAGCTGGAGGATCTGTGGGATTTCACAGAAGAACTGGCTCAGGGCATTACCATAGCACAGGGGCAGGGAAAATGTATTGGCCGTGTGCAGCAGAGCATTGAGAAAGCCACTGGCCCAGGCAGCTGCTGCCATGTGGGCACAAGCTCTGCTGCCCAGGAGGGTCCCGTAGTGCAGGGGTTTGCAGATGGACATGTAGCGGTCGTAGCACATGATGGTCAGGAGGGAAAACTCTGATCCAAGAAAGAAGATAAGCAGAAAAACCTGTGCAACACACCCTGTGTAGGAGATGTTCCTGGTGTCCCAGAGGGAATTGTGCATGGCTTTGGGGACAGTGGTGCAGATGGAGCCCAGGTCAGTGAGGGCCAGGTTGAGCAGGAAGAAGAACATGGGCGTGTGCAGGTGGTGGCCGCAGGCTACGGCACTGATGATGAGGCCGTTGCCCAGGAGGGCAGCCAGGGAGATGCCCAGCAAGAGGCAGAAGTGCAGGAGCTGCAGCTGCCGCGTGTCTGCCAGTGCCAGCAGGAGGAAGTGCCTGATGGAGCTGCTGTTGGACATTTGCTGCCTCTGGACATGGGGCCCTGTTCATTAAGAAAAGGACAGTGAAGAGTTAGAAGTGTAACCAAAAACATTTCTCATACACCCTCCTCTGTAACACACAAACATAGTCTTCAGTTTTTTTGAGTTTTCAGGTTACCTTTATAAACTCCCGCCCATCTTAACTGTTGCTGTTGGATATCAGAAACCCACAGAATTTTTGCTTCACTCTGGTAGAACAGAGTGAGTTCCCTGAGGCAAGATGATGAGTGGTGCCTGAGGGGAGATGGTCTGTCACTTCATTCAGCTTGGAGTTTTTCTGGGCTTTGTCTTTTCTCAAATGGAGGATGTTCACACTCCCATGTTTTTCTTAGAAAGACCCAGGTACTGAGAGCAGATGGATCCACCACAGCTCAATTCCACATTTGTAGCCATGTATTCACATTGCTTATTTCACCAATCCAAAAGCATTTTCAGTCTCAGAACACCTCTGCTTTTCCCCATCAATCTTATAACTCAGAGATGCTCTAGAACAGGTTTGCACCCTGGATTGAAGCTCCCAGCTTGGACTGAAATCTCAGGGAGATTTCCAAGTGTCCTTATGATGGCATTGGATTGAGGGAGATGCAGCTCCTTCCCTGGTTGCACTGACAGCATTGCCCAGGGCTTGGCACTGGGGACAGTGTCACCCTGAGCCAGCTGTGCCCCCTGCCAGAGCCCCCAGGGCCGGGCAGCTGCTCCCAGCCCTGTGCTCTGCAGAGGGAACTGGGCCTGGGGCTGCAGAGCTGCCCCACGGCTCTGCTGCAGCTCTGCCTGCCCAGGAGGGGCTGCACACCTTGGAGCCCCGGCCCCAAGGGCAGAGGCTTGGCTGGGGCACGGGAGGGAGGGGGCTTGTTCAGAGGGAGAGGCTACACTGGATGGGATCCTGTGGGCATCTCTAAACTCTCCCTGCCACACCATTGCTGGGTTTTGTTTTCTCTCATTGCCTGATCTTCTCTCTGCCTCCTGCAGATTTTCCTCCTGCAGGTGTTTCCCTGTGCCTGATCTCTCCCTGCCAGCGCTCAAGACCCAAAATCTCTGTGCCCTCTCCTTGGCCGGACAGAACCCTGTCTGTTTGCAGGGCACTGGCTGGGGGCAGGTTCTGTTTGCAGCTTGGAGAAAGGACAGCTCAGACTGAGCCTGATGGGTATAGCAAAGGTGATGCTGGTGCTGTCCATGGGCAGAGTAGCTGTAAGAAAATTACAGATTTCTTACTTATCACTAAAAGGTACAGTTTGCATTGTCTCAGGCACTTGTCAAAATTAATTATAAATAATACATAATCAACCTTTAATATTTATCTCCCCCTCCCTGCCATTGTCCAATAGTAGGAAACTGAATACTAGTTTTACGAAATTACCTCATTTTTTACAAAATCCTTGTCTTGGAAATATTTTATGTCTGATCAGAAACCCTCAGCATATCAGAGCTTCAAGAGCATTTTACCTCCCCCACACCAGAAATATTCAGAGAATGTACTCACAGAGTCTGTAGGCATTGGGATGTCCCAGGTTTAGGAGATGGCTCCAGGAGCTGCAGCTGCATTGTCCTGCAGCCAGAGGTTCCTGTGCCAAGGGCTGGCAGAGATTCTGCCCCAGGCACTTCTCAGCACCTTCCCAGCCCTGACTGATTGAAGCTCTC